CTTCGACGAGAATCTCATGGCTATTGAGTTGCGCAAACTCGAGGTTCAGTTTAACAAATCAATCTACGTCGGTATGTGCATTCTAGAGATATCCAAGATACCAAGATACGATTGTACGATTTATCATTACGATTATATAATGCCGCTCTATCGCTCTAAGTGCAAAATCATGTATACGGATACCGATAGCTTGATATATTTTTTGGAATGTCGAAACGTTTACGAGAATATGAAGCGAGATATCGCGATATTCGACACCAGCGACAACGTGTACGATATATCGCGTGCTAATAAGAAGGTTCCCGAAGGTTTGATGAAAAACGACAACAACGGAGCGATCATGATGGAGTTCATAGGACTCAGGGCGAAGATGTACGTTCTGAGAGTTTTGGGAAAGAGCGAGAATACGAAGAGAATAAAGGGTGTCAAGAGGAGTACCGTCGCGAAAACGATAACATTCGAGGATTTCGCGCGTTGTTTGAACGAATCGTCGCAGCAATCGAGACGTCAGGCGTGCATACGCACAATGCTGCACGAGGTTTACATCTTGTCCTAAACTAAAGCTAGCTTTGAGTCCTCACGACGACAAGCGATTCTTAATACCCGATTCCACCATACATTACCGTGGGGCCATTATAAGATACCGTTATTAAATACTAATGTAGTATAAAAATTTGTACCAATGTAAAACAAGTAATACACTCTTTATTCATTACAATACAGCTGTTTTATGAATCCAAGAGTTATGTGTATTGTTCATTCCTAACCATTTGACGAAAACTCTATCGTTCTTTCTACGTAGCACTTTCTCTACGAGATAGATATCGGGATTGGAAACTCGCAGTAACTCATGTTCGTAAAACCCTCCGGCTATTGGCTCTTTACGATAGTCTTTCAGCAGATACGTCACGGGATTTGTGCGTTGTACCTTAGCGATTCGAAAAATCTCAGTCGTCCAGTTAGGCGTATATCCCTTCTCGAAAATCGTTTTGAACTTGCTGACGCGTACCGGATCGTTCACCTTGAATCTTGCGGGGGCTGCGATCTTCAAATGACTGTATACCGTGGAGAGGAGTCTCTTGACAATGGCGGGAGTTACGTCCGCCGGTCGCATTCCGATCGTTCGATGCGCGCAGTTGTTATACTCCGGTATATTAAACGCGGTAGAGCGTCGAGCCATCTGTACAATCCGTTAAGCGTGAAGAATTTCCACATGTTCTTGAGCGTGCGATTAAATCGCTCCACAACCGTCGCCTTCATCACCGAGTACGTCAAGTAGTGGCGTATATCGTACCTATCATTAACCGCTTTTACGGAGGCGTTGTAGAACTCCTTGCCCTTGTCCGTTTGTAGATTTCGCGGATGTTGAGAGGCATCGAGCAATCGAAGACGATTGACTAGTTCGTTGGGATCGTTCCAATAAACGTACTCGATTCCTTTGTCTCTCACCCGCATAGCGGATGGAACAGAGTCGATCCCTTTTTTTCTCGTTTTACCAGTACCAGCGACACTTTTATCTCTGTCGAGCAATAGCGGCGCGATGATATGCTTGTACTTGAAACCTTTGTTACCTAGAATGGGCATAAGCGCGTTGTGGCCACGCCGATGGGCGTTCGTAGTCAACAGTATACCCTTGTACGTTTGCTTGTCGTTCTCCGTGTACACGGCGTCGTCGGAAAGTCTCTTGAAGATCAATTCGTATAAGCCCGGGATAGCCGGATATCGCGTGTCGCCCACGATCACGCTGTCGTCGGCGGCCACGTCGAATCGCCTGTCGCTAAGCATCGAGTCGTCCAAGTCGAAGTACACCCCCGAAGTAAACGTGATCGATCTCGCTCTGTCTGTCCCCGTTTAGAAGCGCGCCCATACATTTGCGACCAACGGTCCTCATTGCGCGTTCGAGATCGATTCTTCCGATTCGTTTCTAGTCGCGGGACTCACCGTCGCGATCAAGGGCGATCTCGTCGAAAGGCGTCTCTTCGTCGGTTTCGACGGCGGCTCGTCGTCGTCGTCGTCGGTCTCGCGTTTCCTCTTAGCGCCGACGAACGCAATCGGGTCGATTCCCTCGGTCGACTCGTCTCGCGCGGTGTTCTCTTCGCGGCGATTCGTTTCAACAGCTGAACGATCGGCTTGAGTCGCCTTTCCAGCGCGATCTCCTCTTTTATCTCATCGATTTTTAATTCTCTGTACTTTTTACGTATAGAGTTCTGAGTCTTCGCGATCTCTCGCGCCGTTTTTTCCTGCCGAGCGACGTCCGTACCAGCCGCAGCATCAACGTCCATACTCGCAGCAGCGTCAACGTCCATCCTCGTAGCACAACAATCGCTCTACATCACGGCGAAATCGTTAAATCCTCGTCTATATCTACCATTCCTTAACGTACTGTCCTTATCGATGACTACCAAACCATATTTGCGTTTCCAACACGCGTGACACAAGGCGTAAAAATTCTCATACGACATATCCGTGTTCACATCTGTGCTCGTAAACGTGCTTTAGGTTAGTACCAGCCTGCTTAAACAGAATCAAGAGATTCGCGTTGTTGCGTATCAGGTGTTTTGGAATTTTATCGTGTCTGACAAAGATAGAAACAATCGATATTCGAATGTCGACCCATGGCGAAATATTCCCTGATCGCGTTTTGCTTGTCACAGGCCACGTCGTCGAACACGAATATCGAATCGGGAAGCGCCTCGCTCGGTGGCACGACGTCGCTATTGTTCGAGAACGGATGATAGCCGATCTCGTCCATCGACTCGAGCAGTTCCGCCAGGTATCGATACTTCGGTTGTTGCAGGGATTTCGAGTAGACGTACACGTTCTCAAAGCGCGCGCCGTGCGGACTTTCGAGCATGCTTATCAACATGTTCGTTTTACCGCAATTGGAGGGGCCGCAAATGATGTAACGTATCGTGTTCGGTAGTAGAGGGCCGTGTCTGCGCGCCCTTCCGACCGCGTCGCCCGAGATTCGTCGAGCCTTACGGTCGAGATTGAGTACTCCTATAGCCGGCGACCGTCGAACGAATCGCATTTACGCACGCTCGCTTCGAGGAGACGCGACCGATAATCGCTTCACTTATACTCGACGGCGATTCGATCGCGCACAGTGATCGGTATGTTTCCCCTATTGACGGACAAACGCGATATTCTTAATCTATCCGTCCAACAGTTGCGATTTATCCCGAAATTCGTTCTCATGTGCGATTTCGACAGATACGTGGAGCTGCTGTGGAATAGACTACCCGATCATCTGAGAGCGGACCCCGAGGTGCAACGTTGTCGTGTGTCTGGAGCATTATAATCGTCCGTGGCAACGATCGCATATAGACGGTCCTGCGCCTCTTATCAAAAATTGTAACGAATGTTTAGCAGCGCAGGATTACTTGATCGCGAGCACGACATCTATTCGCGAAATAAGAAACTCGCCGATTGCCACGACGCCGACCGAGCTCTCGCCGAGAAGGCGCGCGAACGTATAACGGCCGGAGATTCCACCTTCGGCGAGAGAGTCGCCTCGACCGCCGTATGGGCTGCTATGAAAGCAAAAATAAAGCTAGGCATGGGTTTGAGAAAGAAGAAGAGGAAGACGACGACAACGAGGAGGAGGATACTTCCAACGGTGAAACGCGGAGGCTTGTTACCCATTTTTCCGATATTAGACGCGCTCAGTTCTTTCGGTGGCGCGGCGGGTGTCGCGAAGGCGGTGAACGCCAGTAAAACCGCACGGCGTGGCGTTGGTCAAGTTGGAGGAGTTGCAACGTCACAATCAAGCGATGGAGGGTCACGGATTGCATCTAGCGCTTTACAAACGTGGCAGCGGTGTGACGAGAAGAACGAAAAAAAAATCGTGGAAGGAAACGTTAGAATTGCTCGAGTTATCGCTCTCATTACGATGAACGAATTGTTGAACCGCTCGGCGCGTCATCTACAAGTATCCTTCTTCAGAGGAGTGTTTATGCGTGATGCATTACTATCGAAGGCGCGACGCAACGAGAGCGGCATCGTGAATCTCAACGACTCACTGGGTCGCCTATGCGAGGAGGGGAAACGACGCGATTTACTTCGACGGTTTCGGCAATCTTCGACCGCCGAGGGAACTCGAGAGATATCTCGGCGGCATAAATATAACGTACAATCGCGGATCGTATCAGACGTACGATCAGAGCATTTGCAGTCAGTTGTGCCTGCGATTTCTCTCGAAGATCGGTCGCGATATCGCTAAGCCTTTCGTTCACCGATAAGAGTAGCGTTCTCACGGCATGCTATTTTCCCGCTTTAGATCTGAGCGACGACGATTACGAGTTAGGTCTCACGAATTTCGAGACGTACAACACTATACCGAACGTCGATTCCACGAATAATAAGTTTTATTACGACAAAACGATCGTGATTCCCGAGGGGGTTTGTACGAATTGAGCGCGATAAACAGATATCTGAACGCCGCTACCTCTAAAAAGCGAAAGATCGACGAAGAGGACGAGCGATGATGACGAGAGCGACGATATCGTCTACGACGAAAGCGACGAAGACGAGAGGGGCGCGCGGTCTCTGATCATTCGAGCCAATGAGAACACTATGAGAAGCGAAATCAGGTGCGAGCATCAAATCGATTTCGCGAAACCAAACAACATCGGTTCGCTCCTGGGATTCTCGTCGTCGTGCTACGACCGAACAAATAGCACACGTCCGACGGACCCATGATTATCATGGGAGTGAATATACATTCGGGTGGAGTGCAATATCAACGCGAGTGCGTACAGCAATAACAAACCGGTTCACACGATACACGAGTTTTCGCCGAACGTTCCTCCGGGATATAAACTGTCGAACGCTCCGACATCGATCATTTACTTTCCGATCATCGCGCGAAACGTTATCGATATCACACTTCGAGTCGTGGATCAAGACGGGCGACCGATCGATTTTTGCGGAAAGGAGATAACGGCGCGACTTCACGTGCGACGACGAAGGCATTAGAGAGAAATGCGCGAGAGCGAAAGATGCTCGTTCTGAACGAGTGGTACGCGAGAGGAGGAGAAGACGCAAACGCTACATCCGCGATCTTACCGCAAAACGACGCGACAAGGAAGGTGCGTGAGGGAAGAGCGAACGAGTTGAACGCCGTGAACGTCGCGTTCTTAAGATCTTTAGGCTGCGTCGTGAAGAATCGACACGGCGAGCGACATTTTAAGTATCGGAGGTGCCTCGATCTTTGACGATCGTATCGTGAGAATAGAAACCCACACTTACAATCCGTACGCTAACACCACGTTCAGATACAGCGACGAGATACGAATACCTATACAACAACAGGATCTGTACACATTGCCGTGCGAAAGTTTTCTATACATCGAGGGAAAATTCGCGACGAGAGAGAGCGCGAAGGAAGACACGGCGAAAGAAGGCACGGCGAAGGAAGTTACGAGAGCGAAGCTAGTCAATAACTGCGTCGCGTTTATGTTCGACGAGATTCGATATGAGCTCAATGGCGTGGAGATCGATAAGAGCAGAAACGTCGGTATAACGACCTTGATGAAAAACTATGCATCGTTGAGCTACGAGAGAGATAGAGTTTTACAGAACACCGGATGGGAAATACCGCCTATAGCGTTGGACGATTTCAACTTTTGCGTGCCTCTCAACGTACTCCTCGGTTTCTGCGAGGATTACAAACGCATAGTGATAAACGCGCGACACGAACTCATTCTGATACGCGCTCACAACGATAACAATTGTGTCGTGGCGCATTCAAATCAGAGACCGAAGATCACCTTGTTGAGAATACAGTGGCGAATGCCACACATGAAACTTAATGACAAACTGTCGCTTCTGCGAACGTTGGACAGCGGACGATATCTGAGCATGGGCTTTCGTTCGTGGGATCTGTACGAATTTCCGCTGTTGCAAAGTACGACCAAGCATTCCTGGGCGGTAAAAGCGGCGACGCAGTTGAAGAAACCACGATACGTGATTTTCGCGCTACAGACCGGAAGGAAAAACGTACCGTCGGAAGACGTTTCTAAATTCAACGATTGCAAGCTAACTAATGTAAAACTCTATTTGAATTCCGAGTTCTATCCCTACGACGAATATGAATCTAGATTTTGAGCGTAACAAGTTCGCAGTGCTGTACGATATGTATCTGAAATTTCGAAAGACGTATTACGAGTGCGAGACCTGCGAACCGTTCATGACTGTCACTAGATTTCTGCAATATGGTCATCGATTGCTCCCGCCAGAACGAATCGATCAAGAGCGCCACCGTCGACGTTCGCATAGAATTCGAATGAGAACATTCCGGCTAACACAACGGCTTATTGTCTCATTATTCACAGATAGAGTTATAGAGTATAACCCACTGACGAATGTCGTACGTAAACTCACGTAATCGCGATTTTCCCCATACGAGAACGATGCCGAACGTACCGATCTTCGTCGATCTGCAGGTTTTACCTTTCGGGAGAAATTTATGGTTAAAGAGGTGGCGATATTAAAAAATGAAAAGAGCTGACTCATCGAATGTTTCGAGAAGCGATACTCTGGAATCTTCTTACAAAGACGGAAAAATCTAAAGCGTGCTGGATAACCTCCAATCATCACGGCCTGCAGTGGAGCGACGGCGACGTCGCGTACAGACTCTCGAAGCACGTGATTCGAAACGGCGTGTGCGATCAATCGTGAGACGCGCCTAAACGGGTGTACGTCAAAGGCTTGGAGAAAAAGAAGTGGTTAGAGGAGATTCTCGACTGCGATGTCATCGCGGACCACGACATGATCGTCGAGACTATCGACGCGGATTTCGAGGATATAAGGCGCCTAAGCACCCTAGACGACATTCAAGCATTCCACTGCGAGCGTCATGCGAAGCATTACGCTATGGAGAACGTATGCAAATTGTACGACTGGTGGTCAACGATGGGAATGTATCACCGAATTGTAATATCGCGTTAATGACTTATATCATATGTCAAATTAGTTTTTAACTATTGTATTATATATTAGATTCAATGCTTATATATTATAATTAGATTCATTGCTTATACTATAATCGAATTCTTTTATCGCTCGCTATACTTATATACATGCTTGAGGAAATACACAAAACATTATTTATGATATATCTCACTTTTATTTCATCTGAATCTTACATCCCAAAGTACAGAGCAACGAGTTCGCAATCGATGATGTCGTTACGATCGAAGGCATCGCTATCGCGTATGACTCTCGAGATATTTTCCGTATCCTTAGCGGTGAACGCGATATCCTTGAAATGCGCCAATTTCGTATCGATTTTTCCTAATATCTTGGTCAACGAGATAACGAGTCGGCTGACGCAATGCTCGAGCTCGAACATGTTATTCACTATTTTCTTCGACATGGTCAAGCGAGCCGCGAACGTTTCCAGGCGTATTATCGTCAAATTGTTGAGTTTTCCGAATCGCACGGTCATATTTCCAATATGCGACGGGGCTGGAAAGGACGATTCTTCGTTGGTACACTGCAGATACTTCGAGAGAACGTGTCGTTGCTCGACAAGCAGCCTCCACGTATCGGGCATCGAGATCTCCTTGCCATGACTATCTCCCAGGATAATATTCACGCGCGAGGAACGTTCAAGAGTGACACATACATTAAGAAACTTGTATCCCTTCATCTGTACATGTATCTTAGTCAAGGGATATTTTCGTTCTAGAATTCTAATTGGATTATTCGTACAATCGGCGTTGTTATGACTCGACACGATCGGCCTGTCATCGTCGAGCGTCCTCTTCCTCCTCCTCGCGTCGTTGCTCTCGTCGACTTGGCGCGTCTCGGAATCCTGCGAGTGCTCGATATCGTACATCTTTATGATCGAAGAGATCGCGCGATACTGTTCGTAAACGTTTCGTATCCTTCGCTCTATACACTATACGAAAACTTCCGTGCCTCTTCCTCCTCCCTCTCCTCTTCTAAATCGTCCTCGCTCGAAAATACGTTCCTCATTTGAGCGAGTCTTTTCAAAAGAGCGCGCAATTGCTCTAACAGTCCGTCCGTTGGACACACGATACCAAAAATCTCCGGGTCGAATTTACCGGCCATAGTTACACTTCTGATAAATTCGTTGTACTTTAAGAACTGTCGTTTAACGAGAAAGTACAGATTACCGTCGATGTATCGAACGGCGGACATTACAGCGGGTGGAATCCCCGGAAATATCGTGCAATGAGTTATGTCTGACGGCTATCATCGAGCAGTCGTCGATCTCGGCCACGATCTCGTCGTTATAAATCGCGAACGTTCATCCCGCGTTAATATTAACTACAGCGTTGATTTTCGCGTTAGGAGGAAGATTTATATCCCTCAGTTTCGTCTGCCAACCCGGTACTAGCTCGAAACTCGGATATTCTATCATGTAAACCGTATCGTCTACAAATAATACGAGTTGGTCTGAGGGTCGTCGATACGCGCCCGTCAAACGCGTAAAATTATCGGAAAGAAAACACAGATAGTCCGTCAGTAACAACGACTTGCCGTAAGATTTGCCGTTTAAGTCGATCGATCATAAGTGGCGTCGATACGCCACGTACATTCTATTTTCTAACACCGCATCGACGCGTCGCAACGTGGTGGTCGCTACGGTCGTCGTCGCTGGTCTCGCAATTTCGCTCTTATTTCTTAAACCGTATAAATTCTGAATGACGAGAAAATCCGCCTCACTCAATTGCACGGGAAAGATCTTAGAGGGGATAAAGGCGTACATTATCGCATTTTTCTGAGGACTGTGATGTAATCCTAACGCGTGATCTCGTGCGTCAACGTATGTAGCAGATGAATCGTATCGTTAGGATTAGCGGTCAGCTCGATATGCCACTTCTCCGCGTTATCCACGTGCACCTCCGATACTTCGGAAGATGGTAAAAAAGCGTGAGCTAGCACATTTCCTGGTCCGTCCAGCAATGACGGACATATTTGGCTTCCTCGATGCCGAGGATCTACGAACGTGTGAAAACCCTTCCGAAATGATATCACGATATCGGGATTCATCGAATCGTGCTCGAACGTCAGCGACGAATTCGCAGCCCACATCTCGAACGCGACCTCGGTGACTCGTAGAACGTTCTTCGCCCATTTCCTCGGAGACTTGTCCAAGTCACTCGATATATCTTTGACGCCGCATCGCGGTTTACGCATCTGTTCCAATGTAGCTTTGTTAAGAATGCCATCACCAGGTATACGGTAATACTCCTGGAAAAGCGCAATCGCGTGTCTCAGAGCCAACGTCGCGTTATCTGATCGTTTGCACGTTATCGCCGCAGGTATCCGTAGGTTTGCAAAAACCGAATCGCCTCCTCGTCGCTATCGGCGACGGAGTCGCGAGTCGCCACGATAACGGCTATCGCGCACGCGATCACGGCGATTCCGCGTGCGGGCGTCATCGCGCGAGACGGGAGTTGAATCGACACTGCGCGTCGCCGACCGAAATACGCGCGAACCACTCGATCGATGTTGCCATCGGTCGCGAAAGGGCGGAGACCGACGCGATGAATCGATCCGAGTCGCGAATCGGAAATTTCAACCGCTTAATTTCTAATCTCTATTGTGCGAGATTATTCTCGTCGAACTAGCCCAAATATACGTAGCGCGATTACACGCCAACGAATGACGATCTCACTAAAGATCTTATACGCAATATCATTAAAAGTACATAATAGAGAACAAAAAGTAAAAGCATGACAACGATAGAATAACGATAGAATAAAAACAAATAAAGAACGATGAAATAAACGATAGACTAATCTTCTATCGCCGTTGCGGTCAGACTTCCCGTAGTCACGCGTAGCGAACGCGAAAATGACGCATCGCACAATATTTATATTCCTAATGAAATATTCCCTCGTTATTAATACTCCTATGACAATTTCCTTCTCGCGCGACTCCCACTCTTATCTCTCATACGTTCCCGATAATATTACATCACCCTCGGTATCGCTAATTGAAGACTCCCGACGCGTCGCCGATCCGCCTCTCATCCCCGCGATACGCAAACGAACGAGGAAAAAAACTCTCTCGGGTCAGTTAATCGTTACAACAACGATACGTATTAATGACGATTCGCATTGCTCTTTTTTTCTTTATTTCAGCATATCTCGTACATATATTTGTTTTTATTACTCGGCATCATATTTGTACACATACTCTTACACATATATTCGTATACATATTCGTGTACATATTCTTATACATATATTCATATCAGTAATTAGTATACATATTAGTATATACTCTTTTACATAGACACATTAGTACATACTATTTCACATAGACATATACTCGCGCAAATTCGCGCTCTTCGATGCCTCTGACGATAATTCGCGCGAGCGTCATAAAGATACATCCCTACTCGCTGTCGCACTCGACGCTTTTCGCTTCCCCGTGCACTCCGGGCCCTCTCCTCAGATCATCGGCGACTCGATCTATCAACTGTCGCATCAACTCCTTCTTCCGATCCGACACGGAGTTCAAAAATTGAACTCTCAATTTCGCGTATTTCCACCAGTTGCGTCTCTTCTTCTTAACTATATCCTTGACGTGGTACACGTACATTCGAACCAATTCGCAATTGGTCCCTTTCTCGCCCGGAGATCTCTCCTCGAACTGTCGTCCACTCTTCAGCTTCGTCATGTACTGAACGAATCGATCAGCCTCTTCCTTGTCTCCAGATAGGGACGCGAACAACGCGTCTAAACCACTGCCACAACTCTCGTCATTCCTTCTCGCAGTATTCAGATGCGCAAGATACTTCTCGTACTCGTCGTCGAGATCCCTCTTCGTTGTTTTCAAACGCGCCAGATACTCCTAGTAATCTCGTATCCAACTCGAGGAAGCCTCCTTCGTTATCTCGATCTCCATAAGCGACGCATGCTCGTCCGGCGTCGCGGAACTCTCGACCAAGCGAACCATGCTCTCCCCAGAACAGTACGAGTTCCACGAACCCTTTCGACTCCACACGTCAGTGACAATACGTATAGCGTTCCTCATACGCTTGGCCTCGCGTATACGTGCGATTGGCTCCGTTCCTCGACGAAGCGCCAGATGTTTAGACAGAAACGCCATCATCAGCCGCAAATTATACGCCGTCGAATGCATAGACGTCCACATCGCGCGCATCAACTCGAGCGAGTCGACCGCGTCGCTCTCGACCTCCGCCGATATCTCGTCCTCCTCTTCCCGCTCGATCGTAGGCCGTTTCTCACATTCATCATCATCGCGCGTTTCTTCCGTTCCACTATCTCGCGTTCCATTTCTCTCGAGAGCTTGAGCGAATCGTCTAAAAGCGATATTATCTCCGGATCCTTCAATTGACTCTCCAGAACATTAGACTGACTCTCCATCTCGCAAACTAACAATATATCGTCGATACTCCTAGTTAAATATTCTAAAGCGGCGTAAAAAAAACACGTCAAACCGCAAACAGGACGCGCTAAACCTCGCGGAAAACGCCCAGACGCGGGAAGCGTCAGAAAACGCTGAAGCGACGTAACAAACCGCAGCATCCTGCAAAACAGGACGCGCTAGACCCTGCGGAAAACGCTCAAACGCGAATCACCTCGATGACGCG